TGGCTAGAGATACGGTACCGTATCGGAACTTCCGATTGCTAAAGGTACGGTAAATGATATTACGTCATGATTAGCCAATAGAAATGACCGACGCGATTTTAGCTTTTTTTGCAAAGTCGCGATCAGCGTGACCACTGCTCGGGTATTTACCAAAGATCTTGGGTATTTTGACTTAGTCTTGGGTTCTTGGGTATTCCGTTCAAATCCTTGGGTACTTTATTTTTACTAAGAAAATTGAATATTTTTGTCATAGAGGGAAAATTAAGAAGTAACAAAGTATATTTCAGTCCATTCAAGTAAGCAAAACTCAACGAAGTGTACATAACATTCTTAATTGACTGTTAATTGCTATAAACATGGGTTCAAAATTGTTTATTTGTGATTTTCGTTGCCATTGATCTTACCTAATTAATGCATTACATAATAAAACTTGATCAATGGTCTACACTGATAACACTGGCCGACTGAGGGCGTATTTTCTATCCGTATTATCACCTCATGAATATTAATTTTAATAATTAACACAAACAATTACAATAAAAAATGGTTTATAAATTGAACTAAAAGGGAAACTATACATGCGAAAAACACGCATTTTTCAAATTTTAATGCATTTTCAGGAAGCTTGGGTAATGCTTGGCAATTTTTGCAGAATCTTGGGTAATTTCGACCCATTCATTGGGTATTACAAAAATTGTGAGTGGTCACGCTGGTCGCGATCATGAGAAACGTGTGGCGTGAACAGTTACGATCAAATTTATGTCATAAAACTTTAGGCCCATTTCATGTAGTGTATTTCGATTGGGGCTTATCGCAGTGTTTGAGATAAAAATCCTTTCTGTTATTCTTGCGTATTTTATGGTCTACCAATGTTCTACTAAGGCTAGGCCTAGGGGCCTATTATGAATTACCCCTATTATAGGCGTACTACTAGGCTAAGCTTAGGTCTACTGTAGTGCTACTACAAAGTGTAGTGTCGTTGCGGCCCTGGGTCGATTCGGCCCCGAGTTGGTATTTTTGTCATGCATTTCGGCAGCGGTGCATGGAGCGCCGAAGGTGCGGCCGCGAATAATAATTTAATCGAACAAGGTGGCTAAGCAGTATACCGTTTGTTAAACATTAAACTTAAGCCATATTACTGGAACATTATCAGATATTAACAATTCTTTTTAGTAGTATTTTATTATTATTATTATTATTATTATTATTATTATTATTATTATTATTATTATTATTATTATTATTATTAAAGAGTTCATTGCAGTATCAAATGATGTTCTTTCTTTTTACAGAAACAACGCAAATGTTGCCAGTCGATTGGTTTGGAGACACGTTTCTTTTTATCGTTTCCATACGATATATATTTGGATCATGTTCATAAATGCTTCAATAAAATTTAGATTTATAAAATAAGTAGGCTTATAGTTAATTTAGCGGATTAGTTTGAAGTTTTTTTTGTTTTGTTTTTGCGTCTCCTTTTACATACCAAATGTTCTATTTGTAAGAATACATAGGCCAATATAAAATAAATTAAAATATACTGAATGATGTGATAACGAAAATAAAGCAAATATATTATTGTATTCATAAGGCCGACAAAATCACCCATTGCTTAGAAATTAGCTAAAGTAATTATTATCTACAGTATAATTTGAGAAAAGAAACGTTTTCAACGATTATGTTGAGGTGAAGTAGACACATGGTTTGTATATTCTTGTTTGTTGTATTTACATTGTCGATACATATTTTGATTAAGCATGTTTATAGAATACACAAATAAATGGAAATAGTAAAATGTATAGTTTAAATAAAATTTATAGGCCTACAATGTTAATGGCCGTTTCAGGCTTCTTTTGATATAAGCCGGAAATTTCACTCACAAGGCCTACGGTATATTTTTGCATAAAAATCGGAAAGAAACGCCCACAAACAGGTTCCCAGTACTCTTTAGGGTGAAGCAGACATCCTTTGTACGCCGTCTTCAGGAACTGCAAAGTATAGTTCAGACTAATTAGACTGGCTACTTTTTTAGGTGCACACACATGCCATGGCAGTGAATGTGTACGCGTCTGTTCACCTCTCGTCGGTTCCGATTTAAAAAAAATTATTCAACTTTGTTTAAGCTTTAATATTGCATTTACCTTATATGGACAGGGCCCGGCCTGCCGGCAGGAGCCGATCAAGATGTCTGACAGGGGAACTGAAAATGGGGCCGATCGAAATAACATCGCCTTAAGGGGATGTCCGCGAAATATTTGTTTTCTAGACAGACGCAACCTCTGAGGCATCTTGGGCGATCAATTTTTTCCCCTTTTTTATCTTCCTATTAAATTAAATTCATTCAAAATACTTCATTCTCGCTTGTTGTCGCCAAGTCTAGCAAAACTGCTATCATTTTTAATTGCTATAGGGCCTCGGGCTTGTCAACATGCACCCGCGAACAAAATTTCTTATCTTCGATCGTTCCCAACACACACTCACTATTGTTGCAGCAGCAGTGCACTGAATGACGTCACGCCTGTATCGGCGTTTCTATTGGTTAATCATGACGTAATATTTAACGTACCTTTAGCGCTATCGGAAGTTCCGATATACGGTACCGTATCTCTAGCCACGGCGTAAATCGACTTGCTTGTCCCAATCTTTGAAAAAGGTGATTGTAAAAACCTTAACACCTGGTATCTTACTAAATATCCTGATATTTAATAAGGTAATTGCCATGCATATTTGTAACTTTGTAGAAAAAGAGAACATATTTTCAGGGGATTCACGTCGCTACATAAGTGCGAGGATCACATTTTCACTATTAAAAGTGTAGTTATAACAATCCAAAGAAGGAAAAACCACCAACCTTCCTTGACTTCCAATTGCCCTTTGATAGGCTAATTTTTGGCGAGATGGCCTTCCAATGACAAAGCAACCGTATGGGATGCTAGAATCAGAGGAAAAAACGGGAAAATTATAAATAATTTATATGATCTAACTGACCCATTTGTGGTTAATAGAGGTGTTAAACAAGGCTGTGTTTTGTCTCCCGTTTCTTTCAATATTTTCATCAATGAACTAACCTTCATCCTAACAGTGAACTGGGAGTAAGAATCAGTGGTGTTTGGATGGCGGATTGGTATAGCCAAACGATGTGGTACTAATTGCAGATAATGGACGTGAAATGACAAAAATTTTAGATATTAATGCAAGTAAACTTACAAAAAATGGAAATTGGATTATATTTATTATATGAGAAATCTAATATAATAGTATTCGGTAAACGTGTTGATAGAGACAAATACTGGAAACAGGTGATGTACATCACAGAAGTAGATAATTACCTCCGCCAACGAAGTTGGCAGGAGGTTTTGCCCGTTCATTTGTTTACCTCTGCCAACGAAGTTGGTAGGAGGTATGTTTTTCCCCTGTTTATTTATATATGTATTTATTTGTTTATTTATGTATTTATTTCTCTGTCACAATGTTTCTTGACCAAAGATCTCATTACCTCCGCCAACGAAGTTGGCAGGAGGTTATGTCTTTGCCCCGTTTATTTTATTTGTCAGCATATTCGTTGTGAACAGCTACAGCCCATAGATTTTATCAGAAATCCGTCAATCTTGGCCACAATGTTCCTTTAACTAAGATCTAGAGCTGATTAAATTTTGAAGGGTCAGCGTCAAAGGTCAAGGTCACAATCAACGAAAAACTTTTTTTTTTTAAATTATTTGTCTACATCCCATAGTTTTAATCACGAACTTGTCAAACTTGGTGACAATGTTCTGTGACCAAAGATCTCAAGGTTTCTTTTAATGTTGAAGGGTAAGGGTTAAAGAATCAACAAAAATCAATAAACAATCAACAACAAAAAACAAGTTTTTTTTTTAAAGTTTTTATCAGAAATTTGTCAAACTAGGCCACAATGATCGAAAAACTACTTAAGTATACCTGTCTCCGTATGGACGTGTGTGTGGGCTTGCCGGTAAAGTGTAAACAAATATTATGTGGGCGGAGGTATGCATTCTCCGAGTGCGCTTTGTTATAAATATCTTAGAAAATATTTAGTTAGCAACTTCAGTGAACATACTAATTATGATTATGTAATTTTAAAAAATCGTTTAATTGCTTGTATAATCGTGTTTATTATGGTAACATATTATGATTTACGTATTATCTGTTTACAATGAAACTATAAAATATACCGTACCGTATTAATTGTAAGTATACTACGTAAGTAAATTGGGGCCGAGTTGACATGGGGCCGAGTTGACTCGAATTCGTCATGACATAGGTTAAACAATTATCCAAAACCGCGGCCAACTAAAAAATAAAAATTTTCACAGTATGTAACTCAAATTCAAATACACTTATTATTATTCGTGCAGCGAAATCAAATAATACATATGTCGTTTTAAACGACTCATTATATTAGAATGGCAATGTGTTTTTTTCAAAATCAGACAGCGAGCAGCAATCCTGTATCTCAGAAGTTTTGTAGACGTTTATCTTTGGTTGATGACCTTTTGACCTCCAGAATTGTGATTTTCGAGTCGAGTCAGTCGAGACAACCCGAGTGGAGTTTCATGCAAATGTTTCGTACAGCAAAAAAAATCGCTTCCAGAACGCGCCGCCCTCAGTGGTGAGTGCGAAGCACAAATCAGGGTCAAAAGTGGAACGTGACATTTGGATATGGTTTCGTAGTCAGATTTGCGAGAATAACTTCAGCTACCCGTATTTCTCGACTGAGACGTCAGTGGGAGCTGTAATTTTTATGGCAAGGAGATTGTGCAACCCTTAATTCGTATTAAGGGAATTTACGCCCAGAAACCTTGTAGTTATTATATTATTTTGGTTATAATAGAAAATATTCATTTTTTGGTGACGTCACACTAACAATATAGTTAGCATGCATACGTCATAAGCTAGATTACGTCACCTTTTCCTGGTAAGGCAAACTATCCCGGCGTGCTTTTTTTCATGGTTAAACAAACACCACTGCTTTGCACATGGATGCCTTGTCCTAGCAAGGGATACAAGAGCCGCATTGTTAGCATTGTATAATACGTACAAGGTACCTCTGCAATTGAATTATTCTAATTAGTTATTTGTTTTTGTTTTGTTTTATTTTATTTTAATTTATTTCTTTCGAGAGTGTACTTTCTATCATATATTAATGCACTGTCTAGTTAGGCCTGGGCCTAGCCCTAGTCTTATTATGTATGCCTCATCGTCATCCGCTACACAGTACATCAGTAGCACCCCACCCCACCTCCATACGTTACAGACGTTTGCTGGGCAACAACGTGATTGAACCTTCCTTCCCAGGGTTCATGTATTGGCATATTGTTAGCTAACCAGTTGTGTGTATTTCTTTGTGAAAATGAGTACCGCGGCATACTCATTTTCACAAAGCATTTGCATCCCCTCTTGGAAAGAGGGAACTTCGTAATAATTGTCTCCATATCTTCCCTAATTAAATTAATCACCGTAATTTAGCTTACACTTATGAATTTAGCTAGCGCTTAAAATGTACAATAATCATTTCACTACCCGATAAACTCCGAACTTTATTCATTTGGCCTACATTTTAGTTTCATCTTGCTGTACCATATATACTCCAACTAGCGTGACCACTCACAATTTTTGATATACCCAATGACTGGGTCGAAATTACCCAAGATTCAGCAAATATTGCCCAAAATTACCCAAGCTTCCTGAAAATGCATTAAAATTTGAAAAATACGTGTTTTTCGCATGTATAGTTTCCCTTTTAGTTCAATTTATGAACCATTTTTATTGTAATTGTTTGTGTTAATTATTAAAATTAATATTCATGAGGTGATAATACGGATAGAAAAATACGCCCTCAGTCAGTCAGTGTTATCAGTGTAGGCCAGTGATCAAGTTTTATTATGTAATGCATTAACATCACCTTCATTTTCATTGGTCGTTCAATTTCTAATTTCCCACCAAAAGATTTTCCCCTTAAAATCTATGCGGACCGATAGGTAAGCACTCACTATGCTGTAATTGGTTGTGTACAAACTCGTATAGGTGTAGGCGGATCGATTTAGGTTAAGCCAAAATTTGTCCAGGCCGGACCAATATTATCCAAGGAGGACTGATTTTGGCCGGCCAAAATCAGTCCCCCGGACAAATTTTAGCGGCTAAACCTATTATTGCTGTGTTTATAGGAGCATTTATGTGAGTGCTCGGCCTTCACGCTTGAGTGAGAAGGTGTTTTCTATCTGCTTACGCTAGCCTATTATAGTACACATCATTCGTTTAAAGTTTTTCAGATGTTCATTGTTAATAACATTTGTTTGGTGTTCGGGGATTGTTGTCATAAGATATTTAGGTTGTTTCCAGAAGTAAATGCTATGACTACATAGATGTTCAATGTAGCTGTTGAGTTGCACAGAGATTAGGGATCAACTGTACTGTAAATAAACTTCATTTTTCTAGATTGAAAGTTGGTAAAATTAATAATATAATGTAGTCAACCATCCTTTAATAATTATCAAGTTCTTTGTTATTTAGAACATACCGGTATACGGTACAGGCTGTACTTTGCATGGAGCATCATTATGTTAATGTTCATCACTATTTATTACTGTATGTTATATCTGATATACCTTATTAGATGAGTTTAATTTTGATTGATTTACAGTTAATCGTCACTTGTATCAGTGTCAACCGTCACAGATGTGTGGTTGCGCTTAAACCTGAACTAAGGATAAGAGTATACGTTGATATTCTGTCATCAGTTCCGAAGTTTTTAAGATGCATTAAACAGAACTCCAAAAATCGCTGCTGCATTCTTGTTTGTTTGATTTATTGACTCAACAAGCACATCATTAACATACAGTATTTGAGGAAAGTTCTGCCCACTAAGATGGCCAAAAGAGAAAGACGACCCCCTGAAAAGGGTGCAGAGTTGCAACAAGAAGCAAAATTCAAAGAACTTGGAATAGCATAGAGGAACCTTCGCAAGGAATCAGATGACTTGAGAATGTTTATGAAGGAAAACCCGCCTGTTAAAGAAACTCAAACACGGCATACAATATGGCTGAAGTTGTACGAAAGTTTTCTACAGGCTAATGATGTGTACTGTGGTACACTCAGTGCAGAAGCCTTGGAAGAGCACATTGAAAAATGGTACAAAAAGAAGACATTGTTTATAGAAAAGAGAAAATCAGAGGCCGAACAACGGTTTCTGACTAGAACAGAGGTCCAGACTATGTCACGGGCATCGAAGTCTTCTCGTGCTAGTCAAGGATCCTCAGCAAGAAGAATTGCGGAGGCCAAACGACTGTCAGAGCTGAAGAAGCAGAGTGAACTTCTCCGAGTTCAGCAGGAAAGTGAGAATAAACTGAAACTGTTGGAAATTGAACTTCAACAGGAAAGGGAAAGAAGTGCCATAGCAAATGAAATGGCTAAAAGCAGAAGCCCGAGAACAGCTCCTGGAGGAAATCGAGGAAGAAGAAAATAATTTAGATGGAGAAGAGGTAGACACTCTAAGCGCCAAAAGCAGTCGATATTCCAGAGAGGAAGAATCACCTGGCGATGTTAAACAAACTACGTTCCCCACTGCATCCCCAAAGCAACTTGGAGAGGTGCTGATGGAACTGCGAAAGCCAAAGCTAGAAAATAAGGAAATTCGAATATTCTGAGAATTTAAAGAAAATATTACAGAAGCTTCCTAACTTCATACATGACCGGTGGAGGAAGATCGTTTTCGATTTGAAGCGGCAGAGAAAAACAGTAAAGTTCTCAAATCTAGTAGACTTTATAGCATTAGAGGCAGAGAAAGTGAATGATCCTGTCGAGGGAAAGGATATAATAAGTAGTGGAAAGAAGAAAGACCAAAGATCTCCAGGCCCAAAGATGTCAGCCGCAGTGTCTAACACAAACGAAATTGATAGGGGATGTATGTTTTGTGGTGGTACTCATCAGATAGAAGACTGCAAGAAGCTGAAGGATGCAAGTCTAAATGAAAGAAGACAACTCTTGAGTAGCAAGAGAATTTGTTTCAACTGTTTGCGCCCAGGGCACATGCCCTTTAGATGCAAACACACCGTGAGATGCCAGGTGTGTAAGAGGAGGCACCACTCAATGCTTCATCATTTTAGTGGCAAAGCAGAAACAACCACAAGTCCGAAATCAAAGAGTAATACAGCCATTGCAGAAACAGTTTCATCGAATGCACTTACAGTTGGCGGATGCACCTTACCAATTGTACCAGTCCAAGTTAAATGGGGTTCTAACACAGTAGAGTGTAACGCTTTTTTTGGATTCGGGCAGTAATGTGTCGTTCTGCACCGAAGAATTGGCTGACTTACTGCAAGCATCTGGGAATCCGATCAAGCTGAAGTTAAACACCATGGGTAACCAGGTAGAAATAAACTCCAAGTCGATTAAGGGATTAATAGTGTCAGCACTTCATGGTGAGGAAAATATGGAAGTAGAACTCCCAATTGTATACACTAAGCCCAGTCTACCAGTGCAGAATTTGCAAATCCCATCAAGAGAAAACGTAGAAAGCTGGAAACACTTAAGAGGAATTGAGCTGCTGAAGATAGATGCCAGCATTGATCTCCTGATTGGAAACAATGTACCAGCAGCATATGCCCCAAGATAAGTGAGGACTGGACCGCAAGGCAGTCCCTATGCTACCAAGACTCCTTTAGGATGGATAGCGTGGGGAGTTATGAAACCTGGAGTTTTAAGTGCAAATCATTGTACCAACTTGGAGAAGATTTACATTGAAAGTCTAAATTATGACTTTCCTGAGAGATGTATAGACGACAAGAGGGAGTGGTCGACTGAAGACAGGGAATTTATGAGAATTATGGAAACTTCCTGTAAGATTGTCGAAGGTCATTATCAAGTAGACTTGCCATTAAGGAATCCAGCAGTCCAGCTTCCGGACAACTTGCAAATGGCGAGTAATCGACTACGGGGACTACAGAAGAAGAGGGAGAAGAATCCACAGTTCAAAGAAGACTACATCGCCTTTATGGAAGATATAATTGGTAAGGGCTACGCGGAAGAAGTATCTAATGGCGACAATATAAAGGGGGCCAATCGTGGTATATTCTCACCATGGGGTGTATCACCCTCAGAAAAGGAAAATTAGGGTGGTATTTGACTGTGCGGCAAAGTTTATCGGAATTTCCCTGAACGACGTACCGCTACCGGGTCCTAATCTTATGAACAGCCTACAGGGGATTTTAATGCACTTCCGTCGATATTCAGTGGCAGTCTCAGGAGACATCGAGACTATGTTCTATCAAGTAAAGTTGCCAGCAGAACAGAGGGACTTGCTGAGGTTTTTGTGGTGGACCAAAGGGACTTCAGTCATCAACCCAAGATATTCAGAATGACAGTACACCTGTTCGGTGCTGGATCTTCGCCATCGTGTGCCAATTATGGGTTGCAGAAAACCGCAACAGACAACAAGTGTGAGGTTTAGCATAAAGGCTGTAGAAACGGTAAAACGGGATTTCTATATGGATGACATATTGAAATCCGTAGAAACCATAGAAGCCAAGAATTTGGTTAATGAATTGAAAACCTTGTGTAATGAAGGAGGTTTCAATCTCACAAAATGGACGAGTAATCGTCGAGAAGTGTTGGTAAATATACCTGTCGAAGAGCGAGCAAAAGAACTGAGGGATTTGGATTCAGATGCCTCACCACTTCCAATGGAAAGAACGTTAGGCATCCTTTGGAGTCCAGAAGTTGATGAATTCCAGTTTCGGAGTTTGCTAACGGAGACTGAAGCAACCCGAAGAGCCATGCTATCAGTTATTAGTTCAGTTTATGATCCTCTTGGATTTATCTCACCCCTGATCATACCAGCAAAAATGCTTTTGCAGGAGATGTGTAAGCAGAAGGCTGGATGGGATGACAAACCAGATAACACCACCTTAGATAAATGGAAACAGTGGACCCAGAACATAAAGGACATACAAGAAGTTAAAATTGATAGGTGTTATGTTCCAAGAGGACATGGAAAGGTGGCAAGTAGAGAATTACATGCATTCAGTGATGCTAATGAGGTGGGTTATGGGGTTGTTATATATCTCAGATCCACAAATGAGAGAGGAGAAGTGCATGTATCCCTTGTGTCCTCGAAAACCAGAGTGGTACCTCTGAAAAAGGTAACCATACCCAGATTGGAATTGACGGCAGCAACTCTGGCAGTCAAGATGGTGCATGTAGTGACAAGAGAACTGGACTTTGACATAGCGAGAACCATGTATTGGACCGACAGCACTGCCGTTCTGAGATATATCGCCAATGTGCAAGCAATGTATCTGACGTTTGTAGCCAATCGGGTACAACTTATCAGAGAAGCAACCAGTCTATCCCAGTGGCATCATGTGAGCACAAGGGAGAATCCAGCAGATATGACTTCCAGAGGCGTTAAGAGAACACAAGACTTGATAACTGGCATCTGGTTCAAGGACCAGATTTCTTGTGGCAATCAGAATCAGAGTGGCCGAGAGATGTGTTAATAGACTTAGACGTGGTGGATGTGGAAATGAAATCAAACTGCACCATAGTAAAGAACAGAATATAGATAAGAACAGAAATAAGAAAGAAAAAGGAAAGAAAAGAACGAAACATAAGAAAGAAAAGGAAAGGATATTCAAGGACCCCTATGATAGGGTAAAAGAAAAAATAGAAAGAAAGAATTAAAGAAAAGAAAAGAAAGAACTAAAACGAGAAGAAAGAAAACGAAAGAAAAGAAAAGTAAATATAAGGGGGAAAAGGAATGAAAAGAACGAATCATAAGAAAGAAAATGAAAGGATACTCAAGGACACCTATGAAAAGGTATAAGAATGAAATGGAAAAAATGAGAAGAAGGAATTATAAGAAAGGAAATAATTATATGGAAAAAGGGATAAAGAAAGAAAGATAAGAACAAAAAATATAAGAAAGAAAAAGGAAAGAAAATAATTAAACATAAGAAAGAAAACAAAAGGATATTCAAGAACACTAACGAAAGGTGTGAGAAAAAATAGAATGAAAGAAAAGTAAAGAAAGAACTAAAATCAAAAGAAAGAAAATGAAAGAAAGTAAATATAAGAAAGAAAAAGGAATGAAAAGAAAGAATTATAAGAAAGAAAAAGAAAGGTTATTCAAAGCAACCTAAGAAATGGTAAAAAGAAAGAAAAGGACAAGAAGGAAACAGGATATGAAAGAAACGATAAGATAAAATAAAATGAGATATGTATGAAAAAGCATAAGAAATGAAAAGGAAAGAAAAGAAATAAAGTAAATACAAGAAAAATCAAGGTTACATAGGAAACAAAGAAAAAGAAGAAAGATAAGGAAATATTAAAAAGGTAATTTAAGCTAAAGAAGCAATGCATAAGGAGACATTAGAAAGAAAGGGGAAAGGAAAGAAAAGAAAGGGTAATTAAAAGGAAAAGGGAGACTAAAGAAAGAAAAGGTAGGTAAATAGGAATCACGGAAAGTTAAAGAAGCATAGAATGAAAGTAAAAGAGTATATAAGTAAGTAATTAGACGGTTAGCTAATACTAAAATAGAAAACAAAAACAAGGAACGTGAAAGTGAAATATAAGGTCAGCTAACATATTTTCCCCCTCTAGGGACCTTCTTTTGTTTTGCACTGTTGAAGCTTGTCAACTACTGTGGTAGTCAATGACAGCCACTTGTTCTGCTGATTCAGAACGGTTAAGAACTTTATTATTATTATAAAGGCTGGAGATAAGTCAGTGGTTGACATGTTGGTGTCCAAAATCTCAAATTGGAAGAAGATGAAAAGAGTGATGGCTTGGGTTTTGATTGCTAAACAGAAGTTCTTGACCAAGATTCGACCGAAAGCAGGGGTTGTTACCGGCAGAAGTTGCGTTGTAAAAGATCCTGGGCAACTGACAGTAGAGTTATTAAACTGAGCCGAGGATTTTATTTTGACGGAAGTGCAATCTAATGCCTTTGAAAGAGAGATTAAGGAGCTTGAGGCTGGAAATAATGTGAGCAAGACCAGATAGGTGAGGGTGGATTGGCAAGAGTTGGAGGAAGAAAAAGCAAGGCAGACGTAGCGTATGAGGCAAAGCATCCTGTGTTCCTTCCCAAGAATTCAAGTGTGGCAGAGATGATCGTGAGAGAGATTCATAAAGATGTTGGTCATCTCGGGAAGAATACCATTCTGGCAAGACTCAGAGAGCGGTACTGGCTCTTTGGAGCGAATGGGATAGCAAAGAAGGTCGCCAGAGAATGTGTAACACGCAAGCGTTACCAGGTTAAGCCATGTGAACAAGTGATGGCAGATTTGCCTTCTAATAGAGTCCAGGCAGATGGAGCACCTTTTGAACATGTTGGCGTGGACTATTTTGGTCCGTTGATGGTAAAGAGAGGCAGATCAGAGGTCAAACGATACGGAGTAATTTTTACCTGCCTGTAGTCTCGAGCCGTCCATCTTGAGGTAGCGCATAGCCTGGACACTGATTCATGCATTAATTCAATCAGAAGATTTATGGCAAGAAGAGGACCTGTGTTAACCATTTCATCCGACAATGAAACCAATCTGGTTGGCGCGGAGAAGGAATTGAGAGAGATGTGGAAGAAGATTGATCAAGCCAAGATGAAGGGTGTACTCAATAATGTTGGGATTGACTGGATCTTAAACCCACCAACAGCATCCCATTTTGGTGGAGTGTGGGAGAGGATGATTAGGTCAACTAGGAAGATCATATACAGATGAAGCACGTTTACTTGATGATGAGGCGCTAGTAAACTTCTTTTGCGAAGCGGAGGGTATACTCAACAGTCGACCTTTGACAACGACATCTACGGATCCAGGGGATATGTTGCCTTTAACTCCCAATATGCTGATAAACCCCAGAGGAAGAGTTCTCCATTCACTAGGGGTTTTTGTGAGTAAGGATGCATATGCCAGGAAACGTTGGAGACATGTACAGCATTTGGAGGATGTCTTCTGGTCTAGATGGAGGAAAGAGTATTTGGTAACCCTCCAACAGAGAGTGAAATGGCAGCGCCAGAGGAGAAATGTAACAGCTGGTGACATAGTATTGATTGTTGACTCATCAGCTCCTAGAAACCATTGGGTGATGGCTGTCGTAGAGACAGTATTCCAAGATAAGAAAGGAGATCGATCGTGTATGGTGAGACGCAATCAGCGCTACTGGAGAGACCGGTGTCTAAACTGTGTATTCTGGTGGAAAACAATTAGGACTCAGCATTTGAAGTGAATTTGTCATATGTTGTTTTATTGCTTAGTTTCGAAATTGGGGGTGGGAGTGTTAATGCCAAGTTCACTTCCTAATATTATTTACGTCTGTCGCCCTCTCTAGTTTAGCCGTGTAAGAAAGTTTTACACAATATGGCTGTTAAACGTCAGGCTATACTTTGATGTTTTAAATAACAAGTATTATTGTGCTTCAGAAGGTGTTTCTCGATATGCTTAGAGATATAGTAAGAATGATTCATGTGTCATTTCATTAAGCAGTATATTAAGGCTGTATTTCGGATATTTCTAAACCTATTATTGCTGTGTTTATAGGAGCATTTATGTGAGTCCTCGGCCTTCACGCTTGAGTGAGAAGGTGTTTCTATCTGCTTAGGCTAGCCTATTATAGTACACATCTTTCGTTTAAAGTTTTCAGATGTTCATTGTTATTAACATTTGTTTAGGTGTTCGGGGATTGTTGTCATAAGATATTTAGGTTGTTTCCAGAAGTAAATGCTATGACTACATAAATGTTCAATGTAGCTGTTGAGTTGCACAGAGATTAGGTATCAACTGTACGGTATTAATAAACTTCATTTTTCTAGATTGAAAGTTGGTAAAATTAATAATATAATGTAGTCAACCATCCTTTAATAATTATCAGGTTTTTTGTTATTTAGAACATACCGGTAAACGGTACAGGCTGTACTTTGCATGGAGCGTCATTATGTTAATGTTCATCACTATTTATTACCGTATGTTATATCTGATATACCTTATTAGATGAGTTTAATTTTGATTGATTTACAGATAATCGTCACTTGTATCAGTGTCAACCGTCACAGATGTGTGGTTGCGCTTAAACCTGAACTAAGGATAAGAGTATACGTTGATATTCTGTCATCAGTTCCGAGGTTTTTAAGATGCATTAAACAGAACTCCAAAAATCTCTGCTGCATTCTTGTTTGTTTGATTTATTGACTCAACAAGCACAACTATACTAAGCGCAAGCTCGGTATAGTCTAGTTGCTATGGCGCCAGGGTGGAGGTCGTGGGTTCGATGCCCACCCAAATCACTTGCGAATTTGTTTGCAAGTATTTAGGGACATACCGTGAGTATCGTTGTCTTATAAACGCTGATACACTGATACACTGAGACGCTGATACACTGGGACGTTGATACGCTGAGACAAAGATGACGTCATTGAAATTCACTGCAAAGTCATATGCACTGAGTGGAATCGAAAGTGCAGGGTTCCTGTCTCTTATACACATCTAGATGTGTATAAGAGACAGGAACTATGCACTTAACGTTACATTAAGCACTTACGGCTTATCTATAAGGCTTAACTTTTGGAAACTTGATATTGTAAAGTTTGATAACTTGTTTTTACGTTATAAACTGCTTACTGTTGTATGACCGATATGATGCACACAACTGATTGCAAATATGGTTCAAGTTAAATTGAGACGTTGTGTTTAATGAGTTGAAAATGATTTACTAGTAGTTTAAGACATTGTTTGCATCTATACATGATTATGATGTTGGTACAGTTTTTGGTTATTTAATAATGGTTAAATTCTGAAATACGAGATAATAAGAAAAGACGTACAGTAGTTACTTATGTGAGTCATTAGGGGACGATGTCTCCTAGGCGGGGAAGGTTGTAGGGAGTCTAGACGAGAACATTGTATAAACATTATGGGAGAGTTATGGCAATTGCAACCTTGTTTACGTACTACTCAGTGCATTATGACTTTGCGGTGAATTTCAATGACGTCATCTTTGTCTCAGCGTATCAACGTCCCAGCGTATCAGCGTCTCAGTGTATCAGCGTCTCAGTGTATCAGCGTTTATAAGACAACGCCGTGAGTATTCGGTATGAACACAAGTCAGGTACGGCAAAACATCACTCTACTGGGTAATTGTTACGTCATTAGCGTATCAGTCCGGTAACCGTTTCATGTGGAATCAAAAATGCAGTTGCAACGCTGTTCGTATCTTGCTAATCTGATAATCAGCCAATGATGAAAACCGCCTTTCTTTCTCGATATTCAGTAGAAACATGCCCGAAGAAGGAAAATCCAGAGGAAGGGTCTACAGTTCCATAGCCTAGTGCAAAACAAGCTTCGATTTAAATTCCATGTACCAGTTTTAATGGTCTCAAGCATTTCTAAACAAAAAAGTCTGCCCCTTCGATACCAGGAATTATGTTATTCTGAACCGGCCATGGAATCTCAATCAAATGACCATCGTTCTTTATACCTCCATGGACCAATCAATGGTGTACTTTTATCATCCGTATATCCGAATTAGTAGGCTTATATACCGTATACTGTACATTGTTTTAATCGATTTTAACATGTTCGTATACTGTTTTTACATGTATTTAATAATGCCACTTTGATGGATAATCATGTTCTTTATTTATAAATGTTTCAGGACTGAGGCGGATTGTAAGGTGGGTGAGGGCGCTGCTCTGTGGCAAACAGAATTATCTTTGCATACGTCTTGTGAATTTGATGTATTTTTCTTGTTTTTCACCACAGTTTTACTAAGTGCATATCCTTGTACAGTACATTTTTCTTGATGTTACTGGAAACGGATATAATTTGTGCGTTATTTCACCTTCGTATCTGTGATTTGTAATTTGTCGTCACACATGAATGTATTAATGTTTTATGTTATTATCCACAAAGAAATAAAGGAGATACACGAACATGCAGTACGTAATGTAGGTGTTGTGATAGTAATATGTTAAGGACGCCCTCTCTTATAGGAGTTACGATAACGCTAACTCACACCTTGATCTTCCCCTATTTCGTGGTAGTACTTTTTTAACGTTCCATTGCCTGCAAAATATATTTAATACGTTTACGAATATCATTACATGGTGGCAGCGTGTGCGGAAAGTATCCAAAACAACACTGGACTAATTTGGATTACCAACATCAACGGAGACGATCGCAATCGTCAACTCTGAACGACACACACATACCAGCCTGGTCGAACACAGAGTTCGTGACGGTAACCAAGGCGACCAACTTGATACAGTGCCGAACAACAAGGACTTTTAACTGTTACTGGAGAGCAAGAACCAGGCGCACTTAACTCACACAGGCTACATACTCACGCTAGCCTAGGCCTAGTCTGATCAAGTTAAACATTTAATTCCTGTTCCAAAAGTACTAATCATCGCAGACATGGCTATAAGTACCCGGAGATTAATTGGAGTGCAGATAACATGGCAGAAGGATTTAAACTATTCAGACAGCGAATAGAATTATGCTTTGCAGACAATGGTATAACAGACGCAGGAAAACAGGCCATCAAAATTAAAATTGCCTTAGGAAATGAAGGACTGAAAAACATAAACGCATCAAGCCTCACAGCTGACGACCAGAAAATCCCAACAAAGCTATGGGAACTATTTGAAAACCAATTAAAAGTTAAGGTTAATTTTCGAGTACACAGGCTAGAATTAATTAAATATAGACAGAAGCATGGAGAAACGCTTGATGATTTTTTAAATAGTAAATAGATGCAGAAGCAAATTCAAGGACTGTGAATTCGACGAAGATAAACTATCGGAACGTATCGTTGATCAGAGCTTGTTATTGCCTCCACACCAATTGTAGCATTCCAAAACTACTTACTTGATAAGCCAAAGGGTCTCAAAATAGATATGTTGAATAAAGGTAGGAAATATGAAGCCATAATAGCAGGGCGGAAGTCTCTCCAAACAATAGAAACGGAAGCCCCATAGACGCCATTGCACAATCATAATGGAGTAAGCACACCTCGTGCAACAACTGTGGGTTATCACTTCTTCCCTGAAAATGCCCTGCATACAATGACACATGCGAGGCATGTGGGTGCTTGGGACACTGGGAAAAGAAATGCAGAAACACAAAACGCAGACAACAGGAACAAAGACACACCAGACAGCTTAGCAGACGACCCAGCCTATATAGAAACAACAGCAACAGAACTAGATGTCAAGCATTTATCAGGTACGGACAGGTCCATGATATTACAGACAAAGACGAGGACGTACCAAAACAGTTCTTCAGACCAGGAAAACGAGTGCGACAAAGTGTTCTATCCAATATGTGTTTCTAACATCTGCCTAGACAACACTCAGCGAGATGAAGCATACACTACTTTTGACATTATTTGCCCTGAAATATCAGGACAACAAGGTAGATACAGGTGCTAGTGGAAACACTCTACCACTTCGCACTGTGAAACAGGTGTATGAGCAAAAATGGGTCAGTACTCCAGCCCACCAAAGCCAAACTGACCGCATTCAATGGATCATCAATTAAATGCCTTGGGCAGATAGCCATATTGAGCAGTTACAAGGATTTCAAACGGAGCAAACAACTATTCTATATTGTAGATGTTCCTGGCCCAGCTATTGCTGGACTACCCACATGTGACCAACTCAGTGTAGTGGCTATTCAAACAGTCGAGGCAGAACAGAAGCATAACACCATCCCAATCCGCTCCGTCAATGATTTGAAAAGAGATTCCCAAATCAATTTGACACTATTAAAAGCTTCAAAGGCAAAGCCAAACTTCATGTCAAGGAGAGAGTAAAACCGACAATAGACGCCCCTATGAAGTGCAGCGTCCACCTTAAGCCAAAACTCAAAACGGAGCTGATGCAGATGGAAAAACAAGGGGTAATCCGCAAAGTGCTGTATCATACAGACTGGTGTAGCTCATTCACAACAACTATAAAGAAGAACGGCGCAATTTGAGTGTGCCTTGACCCAAAACGGTTCAACCAAGGACTAAAGAGATGTCCACACAAAATACCAACATTAGAGGAGTTAAATCCAGAATTTGCAAGGGCGAAACATTTTTCGAAATTAAATGCAAAGGCTGGCTATTAGTCAGTGCACCTCGACAAGGAATCCCAAGACCCAACCACATTCCGCACCCCATTTGGACGATTCTGCTTTGTTAGACTTCCGTTTGGTCTATCTGTCAGTCAAGGTATATTCCAGCAATACATGGACAACATCACTGAGCAAATACTTGGTTGTGTAGGCATCGCCGACGACATAGCAGTGTTTGGCAAAACTGAGGAGCATGACAGAAACCTTATACAGTTACATGAAGTGGCAAAGCGTGAAGGATTAGTGTTCAATAGCGACAAGTGTAACATCAAAACACGCCATATAACCTTTTTTTGGAGCTGTCTATTCTGACAAGGGAATACATCCTGGCCCGTCTAAGGTTGAGGACTTCCAAGCAATGCCAACCCCGCAAGACAAGGACCTACAAAGATTCCTAGGGATGATGAACTTCCTAGCTCTTACATACCCAATTTCTCAGGAAAAGGGGGTACACAGGCTAGAATTAATTAAATATAGACAGAAGCATGGAGAAACGCTTGATGATTTTTTAAATAGTAAATAGATGCAGAAGCAAATTCAAGGACTGTGGATTCGACGAAGATAAACTATCGGAACGTATCGTTGATCAGAGCTTGTTATTGCCTCCACACCAATTGTAGCATTCCAAAACTACTTACTTGATAAGCCAAAGGGTCTCAAAATAGATATGTTGAATAAAGGTAGGAAATATGAAGCCATAATAGCAGGGCGGAAATCTCTCCAAACAATAGAAACGGAAGCCCCATAGACGCCATTGCACAATCATAATGGAGTAAGCACACCTCATGCAACAACTGTGGGTTATCACTTCTTCCCTGAAAATGCCCTGCATACAATGACACATGCCAGGCATGTGGGTTCTTGGGACACTGGGTAAAGAAATGCAGAAACACAAAACGCAGACAACAGGAACAAAGACACACCAGACAGCTTAGCAGACGACCCAGCCTATATAGAAACAACAGCAACAGAACTAGATGTCAAGCATTTATCAGGTACGGACAGGTCCATGATATTACAGACAAAGACGAGGACGTACCAAAACAGTTCTTCAGACCAGGAAAACGAGTGCGACAAAGTGTTCTATCCAATATGTGTTTCTAACATCTGCCTAGACAACACTCAGCGAGATGAAGCATACACTACTTTTGACATTATTTGCCCTGAAATGTCAGGACAACAAGGTAGATACAGGTGCTAGTGGAAACACTCTACCACTTCGCACTGTGAAACAGATGTATGAGCAAAAATGGGTCAGTACTCCAGCCCACCAAAGCCAAACTGACCGCATTCAATGGATCATCAATTAAATGCCTTGGGCAGATAGCCATATTGAGCAGTTACAAGGATTTCAAACGGAGCAAACAAATATTCTATATTGTAGATGTTCCTGGCCCAGCTATTGCTGGACTACCCACATGTGACCAACTCAGTATAGAAAAGCAACACCGCTCAGAGAACTTCTCAAAAACGATACTCCATACATCCGGCAAGATGACCCCCAGCAATTGTTCAATGAATTGAAACAACATGCTGTATCAGCCAATGATTGTCTGCAGACAGACATTAGGCAAACCAGCTCTGAGGGCTTTAGCACAGGTCACTAACACAGGACCTGAGACCTTACTGGTCATACAAAGACCAACTTGGAATGTCCAATGGAGTAATATTCAAAGGACAGGAAATTATAATTCCACAATCTCTCCAAGCAAATATACTACAACAACTTCACCTGGGCCTCATGGGGGTCGAAAAGACAAGGAGATTGGTACGCGAGTCTGTATACTGGTCAGGCATCAATCAAGATATCACTCGCCTAGTGCAAACTTGCCCAAAGTGCCAAGAAAACCAGCCCAGCCAGTGCAAAGAACCGATAAAACCTCACGAGGTTTCACCAGGTCCATGGACTAAATTGGCGACCGACTTATTTACAATCAATGAATACTTGCTCATTACAGAATATTACTCGAAATATCCAGTAGTGCACAAGCTGTCCAATACCTCGAGTGCAACTATTGCCAGAGCAATTACTGGAACTTTCAACCTTTTTGGAGCTCCTGTGGAAATAATGTCGGACAACGGTTCGCAGTACACCGACAAACCTTTCACATGTGTGCCAAGTGGATGATCACACACACAACCTCATCTCTCAGGTACCCACGATCTAATGGTTTGGCTGAACGCATGGTGAGAACCGTAAAATCATTGATAAAAAAAATGCCAAGCCACCGGACAAGATGTACAGTTTGCATTACTCAACATCCGAGCCATGCCATTGGATTCGAACCTTCCCTCTGCAGCAGAGATACTCTTTGGGCGTCAAATAAGAACCACACTACCAAGTCACCATCAGCAGAAAACTCAGCACCAACCTGGACAAATCTACAACGAATTATGCGAAAGAACTAGAAAGATGAAGGAAAGTCATGATAAGCATGCGGGACCTGACCTGCCACCACTATACCCGGGTCAGAAGTTCCGCATTCAAGACCATTTAACCAAATCCTGGCTACCAGCTGAGGTGAAGAAAGTATGTCACAAACCGTGGTTGTATAAAAATCACGAAACCAACAGGGCGACCCTTAGGCGTAATTATGATTTTGATGGTTGCGGATTAGGAATGACTAAACTCATACACATTTTATTTGCAGATGATCTCGTACTAATGGCAGAATCACAATTAAAATTACAAAAATTAATTAATGAGTTAGATAAATATTG